TGAACGTGTTCGGCTGCTTCTGTTGCTGGCAGTTTTTTCTCATGGTAAGAGCAGAGAGGCACTGGTGCTGGCCCCCCTCAGTGTCCCAGTGGCGAGAGGACGGGGGTGAGTGGCAGAGGCCTGGGCTGCTCTATGGAACGGTGCCAGTGAAAGACCTTCATGGCAAGAGGCCAATGTTAACCTGGGCGATTTCTTTCAGCTTGGAAGTTACTAAGATGCCGGGGATCTTCTTTCTGGAGAAGAGGGCAAGAACCTGTGATTGCTCAGCCTTTTGGCAGAAGAGGTTGCTGGAGTTGTTTGAACAGTGGCAGCCTGATGCCTCTTTTACCACTAACAATTTGGGAGTTAGAAAGTTCATAGCAAAGCAAGTGAGAAGGTCAGCCTTACGTGGTGTTCAGGGTAAGGTAACCCATACAGGATCCTAGCAGGCTTTATTCAGATGGCTTTGCTCCATCTTGGGGCTATGACGATGTTCAGGGGATGTATATCCTTATCCTCTAGCTTTTTAAATTTTGCATCAACAGGATCTCCCCATTCCCCAAACAGCCCATGTGAGAAGTTAGAAGACTGAAGTCTGCTGAGCAGCCACTTCTGATTTGCTGCTGAATATGGGTCCCAGAGATGTGATCACTGTCTTCTGCAAATCTTGCCATTCTCAAAGGGTTGTAGGATGCACAGTATTTATTTTTTTTCTGATGTGGAGAGTGGAAAGGCAGTGCTGGAAGGGTGTAGATGTGCATGAGCTGACAATAGTCAGGTACATGAAGTTTGTGTGTGCGTGTAGTGAAGCAGCTGAAATAAATTTGTTTTCATCTGACAGTGAACTAGGCAAAGATCTCAGCCTTTCTCTTTGTACGTTGCATCTGCAGGTCTGTGATGCTTCCTTGACTTTCATTATTAAATCTGCAGCATTTTAAGTGTTAAACTACTACAGATCCTAAGGGGTTACTTTTTATAGTAGAATTCTGGAAAATTTACTGTACAGTAAAATTACTATAAATCATTACCCAAATAACGAGGCATAATAAAATTAACAAACTAGCAGTGGTGGATACAGAAGTATTTGCAAGACATCTCCTTCTATTCCAAGATTATTATTTCATGGTTTGACTGCAGCATGCTACCTATGCCGTTGGGGATGGTAATTTCTGTAGTGTGGTGGTAAACAAGACTCGTTGACCAAAGAGAAGTCCCCTTGACATTGCTATGGTGAACATACTGCATCACAGTCTTCTTGTTAGTGCTGTCAAATAGCTTAGCTTATATGAAGCATGAATGATGCGTTGGAAAGATTAATTTTTTCAGGTAGACTTATGACAAGGGTAGCTAATGCCTCAGAAGGGATCACTTACAAGCGCTTGCTTGATTAGCCCAATTGTTTTGTTTCATAATTAATTATATTTATTCATGAATGAAGCTGTGATTTATGTCTGGAACTAGAAAGTTAATCTCTGATAACCATCATGCAAAACAAAATTATTCTTCTAGAACCACCATCGTTTTCTGTGAAGAACGTAATCTTAAGTCTTTAGAATCCTGATGATATTGTGAATGCCTGTGTGTTTATAATATATGTGACCACAGAGTTCTTGTTGGTTTTTTTTTTTTTAAATTAAACCTCAGACAGTGCATGTGTTTTGCAATACTTTCAGGAAAAAATAAGAGGACAGAGTTGAGTCCACTGACTGAATTATCTTTGTGTGTGTTTGTTAACAGGTATTTTAGGACAGGTATTTTTGTGTTATGGAAAAAGACTTCTGATTTTACTAGTCAAGACTATTCATCTTGAATTTGGTAGGACTGGATTTTAGTGATGGGTAGCAAATACATACATAACTTAGTTTTCTTTATGGAGTTCAGAATCTTTCTAATAATGATCAGTAAATTCACTTCATTACTATTAATATTAATTGCATGGATGTGTGCATGGGCCTTGAGAATACATCGACATACTCCTAGTGCCTCTGGCACATTGCATACTAAAGCACGGGGTAATAAGTCTGATCAGTTTAGTCTTTTCTAACACTATCTGTCTTGTATTTGAAAGCTTTTAAATAGTTCAAGTTAAAATTAACTGGTGCTAAGAGTAATTCCAGCTTTAATTCTCAGATTTAAATTTTCCTTGCGATTTTGTTGTTTGGTGAGTCTTGTGGGTTTTATAGAATCACAATTTCTAATGTTCCTGGCTTCTTTCTATAGGCAACTTTTCATTTCTGTTCATGGCTCAGCTTTGTCTCTTTATGCTTTCTGCTACATCTAGCAAGGGGCTCCTTTTAAATCTCCCATTTACTTTGTCAGCTTTAGGAAGTGAATCAGGGTCCTAAATGGATGATAAACTACTTATGGTGAGCTGTATCCATTCCTTAACTGAAAGATCATCAGCATATTTGGTAACTCTTCTTTCTAGTCTGGTGTGAGATGCAAAAATTCTCTAATTGCTTCTTTGAGTTTTTGCTTAAGGTATTTTTTGCGTCTGTATTAAGATGACAATCAACCTTTGCATTCAGGATGAAACTTGCGTTTTGATACAGTTACATATGAACAGTCCTCAGTTTCTGGTGGAATTCATAAACTTCACAAAAACAGTGTGTAGACAATTGTAAGTTCAGCATCGTGAAAAGCATGCATATTAAAGTATTGTAAAACGTGTGGTGTGATGTTAGCTATTGAAAATTAACAATGCACCTGCTAATGGTAACCCCATTTGACAAAATAATTGCCTTCTGCATTTGATTTACTGAAGCTTTAGTGTTTAAAAACTCCATTTATTCTGTTACACCGTCCATGTACAGAAATCCCAGGTGCCGTCGTCTAAGAAGAAATAGGTAAAGACTATTGTTCATTAATAATAAAATGATTCATTGAGGGTAAAAAGATAATTAAGGAGTTTATAGCTAAAGGACTAAAGTTATAAAGTGAAAGGTAATTTTAACTTATTAAAAATTTGCATTGAAAATTACAAGGATAAAATCCACAGAAAATAGTATGTGTAAAACAATAAAAATGAGACAACGAATGTAGGAACATCTTGGATGTATTTAAGTCCTAAATAAAGCTACTTAATATTTATTCTAGATTTTTTTAAAATCTTTAGCTAAAAGCTAAGATACCTTTTTTTCCTCCTATTAATCTCCGCACATGGTGAAAACTCCCACCTTGGTTTGGTGTTTTGCTCCCTTTTCCCTGCCAAAAAACTTAGCAAAACTTGGGGGTCGCAGATTTCCTTGAGGCACTACTTGGATCTGGTTTGCCTACTTGAAGAACTGATTCTAACTTGAATCATCATCAGCCTTGGTGCGCAGTTGCTGGCTGCATGCTGGTAGCCCTCGGCCTGTGGAGCTGAAAGATTGACTTTCATAGGGACATGTCATGAAGGTGCAGGAACAACCAACATTCACTCTGCTATTTTTCAACTCTGTTTTCAAAACCCTCTGTTCTCCCCTCAAAGTTAAGGTGATCAAACACTTACCTTGTCATTATCTTTTCCTCCCTTCTTCCTTTTCCTCGGGACTTCTCTCTTCCCACCTGTTTATAGATACCATGCTTTGATTCTTTTCTAGATTGAAGAGAGTCAAACATTTTTTAATACGGTTATTTCATTTACTCTTCTCAAAAGTAAGATACATTGCTGCTCCAAGTATTCAGTGTTTTAGAAGACTCCTGCACAATACTGCTGTGCTCTGAACTCAAGAAAACAGTATCAAAATATACCAGGATGTTATTAGTAATAAAAATTCAGATTGTTCAGGCAAAGAATCCTTCTAGTGTATTTCAGGGCTCAAAAGATGATATGTATGTATTGGTGATGTACCAGCTGCTCCTGGGTTGTAGGCAGAAGTGGTTCCCAAGTGTCTGGGAGCTGCAGGAATGAGCATTTCCATGTGGTACTTGCATAAGATCAAGACCTGCCCCTGAGGTTCGGCTGAGTGACCACACCGGTGGCCGCTGCTGATTTAAATAATAGGAGTGAGACCCCAAGACCGGTCCTGATTTGGCACAGCCTGAAACATGAAGTTGGTGGTTGTGTACGAGGCATGTGAAGGAGCACGTGCAAGGGAGGGAGGCATAACACTGGGCCATCGTGTGCTGAGGATGCTGAGGAGATGATGCTGTGCCACAGCGGTGTTGCGGAAGGCGTGAAAGAAAGCTGCTGTATGTGTTCATCAGCTATCAGAAAGCTGTGACCCATGATAGTTTGTCTGTGGTGGCTAGAGTGACAGTGATTGTGGTGTGGCTTACAGCTTGCCCAGAGTAAACCTGGGATCCTCTGACCTGCTGTCTTCCTTAACTTGGGGAAAAAAAAGGGTACAGGAAAAATGTCTCCTTCCCCTTTCATTTGGTGGAAGTTGGTTGACTGGCTTGTTTCTCCATGTTGCTACTTTCTGTTAGAGAAAAATCGTAGCAATTATTTAAGCTGATGATAAAATTCATTAAAATCAAAGACATTTTTATCACTGACCTCAGTGTAGCCAGGTAACTGTGTTTATCCCCTGCTCTGCGGACACTGCTAACGGCTCCCTATGTAACAGGAGACAAGCTCTTGTTTTTCAAAAAGATTGTTAGGCGTCATCTGCTGTTAGTGTGGAACCTGAACAATTTGTCCTATGCTGGACAGGCTTACGAACTGCTTACAACTATCTATCAAATCAGTTAAATTGCTTAATTCTTGTACGTGAAGTGCTTCTTGTCCAGAGCGGTAGACAGTAATAATGCACAAGGGAGAAAATTCTGAGCAGTATTAGATGGGAACACCAACATAAAAGAAATGTCTCTTAATGCAGAGATCTATGGATAAGTTAGACAGCAGTACTGTTAACTGCTAGTGAAGATGAATGTAGAGGAATGGATTAGTTCCAATTACCTAGTTACCTCTAATGAAGTTCAGAATATTTTGCTATGTTTCATTCCAGAGTAATTTTTTTATTAGAGTTATTTTTTTCTGCCTCTTCCTCTGCTTATGAAAAGAAGAAACGTTAATATCTCTTTATATTGTTGTACAGACCACTTTCTGATTCTGAACAGATCAACTTTTTAAAGAAAACAAGACTATATATTCAGCAGCAGAAGTACGATGAAGCGGTAAGTTGTTTTTGCTGTATGCCTTCTAGAAACTTTTTACAGGAACTTCTGTTTAGATTTGTTTAACTTGGAAAGAAACTGAGGAAAAAAGTTTTGTTTCCTCTTCATGATGCACATCTCATTAACACAAATAAAATCCCACTGTAAGTGTAAAATTTTGCGTTTTGGCATCAGTTCTAATGAATAATACTGACTCGCTGTATTTTTTCTCATACTTCTTAAACTGTTTGTTATCATTCCATAGTATACTAACACACAGTACATGTTTTTATTTTCCACTGTAGAAAAGGGTAAATTGAGAGAGAAATTGAGGAATGTAGTTCATGTTTACAATTTTTAGGCTGCTAGTTGCACAGAAGAAAATATGATGTTTTGCTCCATCATAGATCTTGCTTTATTTTGTCCTTTTAACTGAACTAGCTGTTCTTGGTTTTAATTTCACATTTTAATTTGTCAGAGACTGGGAGACATACGTGGAATCATTCTGTGCTTCCCATTTTTAAAAAGGGTAGAAAGGAGGACCCTGGGAACTACCAACCCATCAGCCTCACCTCTGTGCCTGGGAAGATCATGGAACAGATCCTCCTAGAAGCTATGCTGAGGCACATGGAGGACAGGGAGGTGATTCAAGACAGCCAGCACGGCTTCACCAAGGGCAAGTCTTGTCTTACCAACCTGGTGGCCTTCTATGATGGAGTAACTACATCAGTGGACAAGGGAAGGGCTATGGATGTCATCTATCTGGACTTTTGTAAGGCCTTTGACATGGTCCCCCACACCATCCTTCTCTCTAAATTGGAGAGGTATGGATTTGATGGGTGGACTGTTCGATGGATGAGGAATTGGTTGGATGGTTGCATCCAGAGGGTGGTGGTCAATGGCTCAATGTCCAGATGGACGCCGGTGATGAGTGGTGTCCCTCAGGGGTCTATGCTGGGACCAGTGCTGTTTAATATCTTCACCAATGACATAGACAGTGGAATGGTGTGCACCCTCAGCAAGTTTGCAGATGACACCAAGCTGAGTCGTGTGGTTGACACGCCGGAAGGATGGGATGCCATCCAGAGGGACTT